CCGTTTCTAGCTGAACCGAAGGGCACCTTAACAAACAATTACACACACACACACACACACACACACACACACACACACACACACACACACACACACACACACACACACACACACACACACACACAACCACTATCTATGCGCGACATTAATCACCCAGAGCTTTGGTAAACAGGGAATCCAGGTGAACAACAGAATAGAATAAACACAGAGAAGACTACTAGGAAGTCAAACCAACACCAGCAACACATGTGGAAAATTGGTGGGAAGAGCTTCGGGATTGAGGGCCCATTTTACCCTCGTTTTGTTGGTAATTGACCTCTGAAGCATAATGTGTAGTGCAGTCAGAGGTAATTAGCAGGCAACAAACTGTTTCTTGATTGCCTGAAATGAGCATTTTAGAGGAAGCCACAAATGTAGAATGCAAAGTGCTTTCAATTGTACGTGCAAGTAGAGGGAACCTGATTTGAAGTGTGTATAGAAATCAGAACAGAGAAATGTGGAAAGGGAATAACCGCATGCGGCGCTGTGTTGGCAGTAGGAATAGCCCCTGCATCAACAAAAGGTGCATTAACGTAACTCTGAATAGAGCCACCTCAGGCCTTTTTATGTGGCCTCATTTTCACGAAAGCAAACGCTTTCCACCTGCTGGCCCCTGGGGTGACGGGGTTCATTCTGGCATTACATCACTCTGCACAGAATCCCAAAATTTACCAATTTAAATGTACAGTTTAGCATGGGGACATATTTCCTATTGTAATTCATTCACAAGTTGTAAGAAAGGGATAATAACCTACCTGCAGGCTGTTGTAGCCATGAGCAGTTTAATCAACAGCCGTGTCGGTGGCCTACGGGTCAACCTTCACATTTTAATCTGACACTATATAAATTATGCAGCAGCCTCCTTTTAGGGAATGACAAGATGAACCGAGTTAAAAGGAGAAGCCAGCTCTGCACAGGTGCTGAAATCTGTGTGTTTGTGCAAATGTGTTAGTGCTTTCGAGCCCTTTCTTTAACCTAAAGAATAAAAGGTGAATAGATGCATTAAAGCTTTGTGTGCACTTATTATGTTTAGCAAAATATGCTGTTGACTATTGCACTCCAGATTGCAGACCTATTAGATAGATTACTGCCATTGTGCGGTGGTCATGCTTTTGTGAGACCAGTGACCAGAGACTGACAGACTATCAGGACAATAGCCCTGACCTTGGCACTCTGTCAGTTGGAAGGAGAATCCCTCCAAGGGAAATGTCATTTTCCTCCAAGCTTAGTTGATTTTATTGGTGAGGATTTACACTGGGATTCCCCCTGCCGTCTATAAAGCATGGCTGTTTAAGGCAGACTGTGTTACTCCATTGACAGGCAGACTATACATTCAGCATTCATTTCTAAAGATATGAGAGATGCTGTTGAACAAAAAGACCAAACATCTTCAGATGTCTAATATTAAACGCACAAAGAAAAAAAACATTAAAAAAAAAAAAGTCCTATAATTGGAGCCTCCAGAAAAAGCTTATAAATAAAGAAGCTTAATGTTTTAGGTGCATTGGGGGGGTGGGGTGAAGGCAGAGAGGAAGGAGGAGGAGTGTAAGAGCCACTTTCTTATGTTAAGCAGGCGTGCGGCTGTCCTCTATTGTGTGGCGTGAGGACTCTTTTCTCTGGCCAATTTGAGCATGCTTCAGTGGCCAGCCTGGCTCTGGCCCCCCAACGCATTATACAGAGCCACAACAAAAGCTTGAGAATGCTGCCTGCTCTCTCAGAGTGCCCCCCTCATTGCTCTACTATGCACTACGTTCCCCAGGCTCCCCTCCCACTCCTTCACACACACTCGCATACACAGAGGCAAGCGGGCCAGTCTACTCCGGGCCCCCGGCCGACGTGTCAGTCTAACGGAGCGCGACAGACGTCAGTCCTTAATTAATCACGTATACGCGGCAGGGGCTCAAAACATTATTTAACGACATGGAAAACGTTCTAATAAGCTTGTCACACAGCCAAAGCGCAACAGAAACCCGGCCAGGAGGGCATATATAAATCTACAGTCCTTAATACACACACACACACACAGTAGCATGCAAAACATCTCTTACACACATTTTCATCCTCACGTTTTTATTTAGAGGAACTCCATTCATAACCACTCAGCTTTGTGCAGAAGCAATGGAGCAATGCCAGACCTGAATACTAGGAAGGGTGTGGCTGAAGGAGGTGGAAGATGCCAAAACACAGTAATGTTCCTCCTCACCTTCTTTTTTTAAATAAAACAAGGGTCACAATCATAAACCTATATAAACTGTGTCCTCACTCCTGCCAAGAAACCCTTGAACCTAACTCATCACTCCAAACACATGACTAGTACTGACACGAGTACAAAGATTGCAGCAAATACAACCAGTTGAATACGAAAAAAACCACACATTAAAAAAAGTAAATGGCAAACTGACAAAAACAAACAGCCTTAATTGCTTTCCAGTTTTTAATCAGGGCTGATGCACATTGATTTGACCAATGCGCCATCTACTGGAGGAAAGAGGAACAACCGGCAGCTTTTGTGCAGGAGCCTTACCGGGTCATCGCTCATGAAGCCCTTGTGCATGATGTGGTAAAGGTGCACCAGGAAATCACTGTTGGGGAGCACATCCTGGTGCCTGGTCATCATCTCACAGATCAGCTTGAAGGCCTGCAGTTTTCCAGCCTTGTACTCTGCAGGCAGCATGGTGGCCTAAAGAGGGGAGGAGTGCCATTATCAGGAGCTGGAGACACTTCTATTCTATTAAGCTGCAGCAGAGGCTTGAGAAGCTGATGCATTTTGTCCCCCACCCATTAAAATAAATAAATAAATCCAACTCCAACCACTAAATTTTCCCTCATACAGACATAACACATATTGAGGCAACATTCTTCCTTTTATTGGTTTGCATAAACAGTTTGATTAGATAATACTAATATGTTTGTTGCCGCCAAGGCTAAGCATTCGGCTGCATTGATTACTTTTTGCTGCTCCTGGAAATGTAATGATATTGCCTTCTGAGCATTATAAGATCCTCCCAGATTTCCCCCCCCCAAATAGCACCAATTGAGAAATTCACTCTAAATGTTTTAATATTTACTTTTAATGACATGACAGTGGATCCGGCAATCAGACTATAAATCACTTTTAGGTTTTAGTATTTCATCCATAGCTTGTGTGCACACTAACATATAACAAGTGTTTTGAACATCTGCTGTGTCTTTGCATTGTTCATACCCTGAAAAGCCAGGACGCAAGCATTCGAAGAGGTGGGATGAAGGCAGGTTGGGGCGGAGAAGACTGGTTGTCCACACTAATCCCAAGATTGTCCCGAATCTGTAAGCAAACATTTCACTTCATTGAATAACACATCATATCTAATGCTTGGTTCAAACTCTCTGCTTTAGGAAGTACAGAATACAATGTCTGATTTAAAATGTCATATTTATTTATAGAAATTTTATCTGTCTTTGACATAAAGAGGATTTAAAAGCATCACTTTGATGTAGGCTTTTTTTTTTTATGCTCGTGTACACATAACATATGGAATTACTGGTTTATCATCAGCTGATTATGTCTTTATTGTACCTTGGCCAGCTTGTGCCACAGCTCATAGAGATAGGAGAAGACCTTGGCATGGATTTTGGGGCAGCGGATATTGTTGACATCTCCCAAGATACCCAAAATTCTCCTCCACAGGACGAAGGCTGAATCAGCATGCCAGCCAGTCAGAGTCCCACCGGCAATGATGCTGACATCATCAGCCAGAAACTCGCTGCTATCTGCATGGTCACATAGAAAGAGTAATGGGTGATGTGGGTTACAGAAATTATTATTTGGCAACACTTTGCCAGTACCAAGAAAGACTTCATTTTATTTAGCTGAATGGATTCAGTCAACAAATGCAGATCAACTTTATACAGTTATAATAAAATGAATATATTTGACTCTCAATGCTAATGCGTCGTTAGAGCAGCTGTTGACCAAATCCTTAAGTTATCTGGTGCATTTTCCCCAAACGCATTATGCAAGTGAATAAAACACTCAAATACTTTTGGGAAACAGGCAGAAACCACATGCATCATCCAAGTGAATTGTGGCAGGACAGTGCCACCTAGTGGGCAGCAGGAGAGCAATGAGAACCTGAGGGAGTAAAGGCTTGGAAAGACAGATGATAGTGTAGCTGATGTGAGGCGATTCAAATGACTTCTGAAAGTTTCTGTTTCACTGTTTTTAAATTTAGTTGCAGAAAAAAAAGATAAAAGATTGCTCATTTGTTTACAAGAAGAAACAAAAGAACAATTATTTTGTATTATGTGTGCAGAATAATGACAAAGCAACTTACTTTAAGTAAGAGTAGCATCAAACCAAACAAAGAAAAAAGAAAATAAAAAATCTACAAGGGGAATTTAAGACAAAGAAGTGAAATGCAGATGAAGACTGTGGTCTACATGATGAGTAGCAACTAGGGAGCAGTACCCAAGTGGTGTGGCATGTGTAAGACAGACTGATGCATGGTGTCGTCCAGGGGGCAATCCCGTGGGCACTCTGTGTGCACCAGCAGGGCTGGTGAAGCGGGGGGATTCTGGGGGTAGTGGTAGTGGTTTTGGTGGTTGTGGTGGTAGGACGGGGATGCGGAGTGGGTAGGGAGAGCACACTCAGGACCTAAAAACAACAAGTGGACATGGATCAAACTGGGTTTGAGGAACAGAGCAGAGGGGCAGTGATCACAATGTGGGAAACACAGAAGTTCACGTACAAGGGTGGGAAGGGCAGACAGGGGGACGACAATATCTGCATACACGAGGGGGGAGGGAGTAAATAAATAAAAAGCCTCAAAGCTGAAGGGATGTTGTGGTAATCCCCCCTCACAGAAATTGACAGGTGACAAATTAAAGGAAAAACAAACCAGCTAATTCAAGCCCCTCCTCCATTTTTCCTGGTTAATGAAACATCTCTATCCTGATGGGAGTAGTCTCCTCCAACATGACAATGCGCTCACTGAATGAAAATTATGTGAACCACATGCTATCCACAGTCACCACTTCACTTCCTATCTGATTACACATGAGACAGTACCTATGAGTTTTTGCACAGCATCAGAAAACCAAATGAGGGAATATTTCCTGGAAAAAATGTGTTCTATCCCTCCAAGGGGCAAAAAGTAAAATGATGTTGTGGTGGTTCTTCTCCATACTACAACAGCGCATCTTTTTTTCCACCCTTAAATTTGTCAAACATCTGTAGATACCTTAAACAAACCAGAGACCACAGGTTACTTTTCCTTTCATAACATTTCCACTTTTCAAACACCACAAACTCTGAGCAGATTTAAAATCTTAAATTGCTTGGGAGAAGTCATCTAGACAATATTAGGTTTTTCACCCTTCCTAAGATTGATCAATCTATCAATCAAGAGCAACGTTACAAAACCCAGTTTAAACTGCACAACTGCTGAAGTCTCCCAAATAATTTAATCACTGTGATGAATGGTCACAAAGGGCTTCCTTTATAATAATGAGGATATTAGCTCTGTTGCTAACTATTATATGTATCAAACCAGCTGCAGGCTGCAGACAGACATAAATAAAGTACTCTGACTGGATTTGTTAGCTCAAACAAACTGTAACAAGCACAGCTAAACAGAGACATTTAATAGAGACACTTGCATCAAGATTTAGGGGCATGCTATGAGTTTCTACCTGCTAAAGCTTCATTATGGCTGAGCAGCAGACTCCCCTGGCTCTGAGGATCAACTGTTACGTCCATGTGTGCCGACTGCGTGGACTGATTATCGGCTTCCTCATCAAACGTCTGCCAGGTAACTTCAGCCTCATTGAGGTAGCCATTGGACGTCTCGCTACTAACACTCTCACCTAGGTAAGGTGAAAAGATTAAATTCATGAAAGAGGAAAAAAAGCAAAAGAAGCTTCAAATGGAGCCTACTAGTAGCTCTGTAAGGAAAACTGTAATATCCAATGCAACAATTACATATTTATATGCTATAGTCTTAGAGTATGCTGATGAAAATTCACATTTTTAAAAAGCAATTTATGTTTAACATTAAAACTGAACAGTGATTATAACTTCTAACTTTTCTCTCTGAGCTTGGGCCTCGTGTAGTTTGCGTGTCCCTCAGTATTGCACTCTGTCTCAGCTGAGCTGCTGGTCCGTCGGATGAGGATCTACAACAAAGACAAACATTTAAACAGATGAACCAAGCGTTGATCAATCTTATTTCAAGCTAACACGATGGTTGAGGATGAATGTTCTCACCACAGGTGGTTCACTGCTCTCAGTCCTGCCCTCAGACATCCTGCTATCAGAACCACAGGAAGTAGGAGAGTACTCTCTCTGCTGGACTGAAAGGCAACAAACAGTTCTGATTTGGTCTCTACCAAAAACTGGAACATGTTCAGTTAATCTCTGTAGCCCTGATCTTAATTATAAAAAAATAAATAAATGAATATGTTTAAAGCAGGTCGTCTGACCAATCAGAGCAATCAGAGCACACAGGCTCAGGAAGGTGACCAAGAACCCGATTATCACTCTGATCGAGCGCCAGAGCGTCCAGTTACACTGGAGAGAGGAGAACCTTCTAAAAGAACCATTTCTGCAGCACTTCAGGCCTGAATGGTAGAGTAGCCAGATGGAAGATGCTTCTCAGGTAAAAAGCACATGACAGCCCACCTGGAGTTTGCCAAAAGGTCTCTCATCTGATTAGAGCACTTTGCTCTCACACAGGCCTACTTGTTGTTCCTACAGTATTTAAAAGTAGAATGGGAAGCAGAGCCTTCAGTTTTCAGGCCCCTCTTCTGTGGAACCAGCTTCCAGTTTGGATTCAGGAGACAGAGACTGTATCTGTACTTAAGATTAGGCTTCAAACTTTCCTTTTTGACAAAGCACATAATTAGGGCTGGATCAGGGGACCCTGAATCCTCCCTTAGTTATGCTGCAATAGGTGTAGGCTGCTGGGGGATTCCCACGATGCAGTGATCATTTCTTCCTCAGTCACTTTTTTCACTCACTATGTGTTTGTACACCTCTCTGCACTTATTTGTTAGTACTAATCTCTGGCTCTCTTCCACAGCATGTCTTTGTCCTGCCATCCTCCCCTCAGCAGACTGTCCTCTGTCCTCCCCACTGTCGCCAACACGCTTGCTCATAGAGGACATGTGATTTTTTTCCCCCCTCGTTATTATTGTAGGGTCTTTACCTTAAAATATAAAGCACCTTACAGTAGCCATTGTTGCTGGGACACCGTCCCTACAGTAAAGCATGGTGGTAGCATCAAGTTGTTGGGATGCATAAATGCAGCAATCTACAGAGACATGCTTGATGATAACTTGCTCCTGAGTGCTCTGAACCTCAGACTGGGCTGAAGGTTCATCTTCCAACAGGACAAGAAACGTAAGCACACAGCCATGATAACAAAGGAGTGGCTTTGAGACTCTCTGAATGCCCCGAGTGCCTCAGCCAGAGTCCAGACTTGAAACTGACTGAACAACTATGGAGAGACCTGAAAATGGCTGTGCACCAAAGCTCCTGATTCAGACCAAGCTAGACAGTTTCTGCAAAGGATATGAGAAACTGCCCCCCCAACAAAAAAATAGGTGCGCCAACCTTGAAGCATCATACTCAAAAAGACTTGAGGCTGCAATTGCTGCCAAGTTATTAAGCAAGAGCAGTGAAGACTTTAATTTTTTAAATAAATTTGCCAGAATTTCAAGCAACTTTTTCACTTCACTATTGTGTGCAGAATTTTATTGTGATAAATGAATTGAATCTATTTGGAATAGGGCGTTAACGCGGCAGCTTTATTCCAGCCGGAGAATGCTGTGAATACTCTGGATGTACTGCATCTCTGAAATAATTAGCAGACACCTGTTTCTGTGCAATGCAGCTTCTAAACCAAGCTGACTAGCACTGGCTAATAAATCCACCGTCTCATCACTTAAACAATAATAACACCAAAGATCTCTGACATACAGTTTAAGGTCTGTTTAACTATTCATGCTTAAAAATCAAACATATCAGGCTTAGCTGCTAAAATGAAAAATTCCAGTTGACTGTAATGTAAATAATAAAAAGTGTTCACACTATACAAGTCCACTCTCACATCATCTAGTTGAAAAGAAGAAGAATGAATTTTACCTTTCTTTAATTTGCTTACAGAGCTGTTTTTTCTAAATGGTTGTTTTTGTACATGTATGTGCAAATATATGATGTTCAAACTCATTTGCAAACTCGAGCTGCACGATTATATCAGCCGTTTCTGCTCCAAGCTTATAAAGTGTAAAGAAGTCAGTAACTTCCTGTTTATGAAAATCAGACTAAACAGAAGAATTCAATTTGGTGTTTGGCCTGTTTTTCATATCCTTTTTATCACGAGGTTAAAATTTTAACCGTGAAAAACAAGCTGTTATTTGCTTTTTTTGTATTGCTTTGAAAAACCGAATAAGATTAATACCGTAATATTGCACTGGATAGTGGTGTAATAAAGACAACTGAAGTGACAGATTACTTCTCTTTTATAAAGAAACTGCAGGGTTAATTTGTATCACAGCTGAACACACAAACTGAATAAAAGAGGAGTAATTCCACTGAAAATAGCTGAATAGGCCTATAAAAGGAAATTGTCCAGTGAGCAATAGTTCTCAGTAAGTGCCAAACTGCTTTAAGTGGATAGGAAGGCAACAATAACTCAAATAACCTCTAATTACAACCAGGGTGTGCAGAAGAGCATCTCTGAATGCCAATAACTGAAACTTTGAAGGAGATGAGCTACAGCGGCAGGAAACTGAGGCTACACCTTGAACAGTCTCAGCAAAATTGGACAGCAGATGATTGAAAAAACATCTGGTACTTGTAGGGTGTACCTAATACAGTATTCAGTGAGTGTATACAGAAGATTAAAAAGTGCTTTGCGCTTGTATATACCTGGTAAGGTCTCAGACAGCTGTTGGGTGATGTCTGAGGTGCTGCTGCTACGCGGCAGAGGACTGTCTCTGCCTCCCAGCTCCTCCTCTCCCCCACACTCTGACAGCTGACACTCCTCCACATCTGACAGTCGGGAAGACAAAGACATGGTCAGGCAGAGGTGCAATACGGATCAAATATCATGGAAACACACTGGAATATGACTTGCAGACACTGTACAGACAAAGATTTCACACATATGAAACATGGTGAGGAAAAACAGGGCATGCAAACATGCAACGGTGATACATACACTTGTTAAGGACAGCACAAGGCACCGGGGCAATCTTGAGAAATGCATTAGTCAGATCATCCAACAACATGGATTAAATAAAAAGTTCAGGGTGCTATACGAGAGACTGTGACTGAATATGAATGGGAAAGGCTGGGCGAAGGTCACGCAACATGCAAACACATGCAGCTCTCACAATACTTTACCTGAGAGTCTGTGAGAGCAAGCAGAGTTACCAGAAGAGATACCAGGCAAGAAAGAGCTCACAGTGTGGAGCAGCATAGGAACACTTTTAGTAGTGGGCAAAGCCTCGTATAGATGAACACAGTTGCTGATGGACTGGCTTCGCTTAGCTTCCATCAGGGAAGGAGAAAGAAGAGGAAAAAGAAGAGAGACAGTGGGAAGAGAAAAAAGGTAAAGGAAAGAAGCAAATATTCAATGATAGTAAAGTACAAAATGCTGCAAAGAAGCTTCTGCTAATAAATTCAATTCTGATCGTGAAAATGGAGCAATTGAAGACCAGCAGCACCAGAGTTTGATCCAAATATAGTCACATGTGAGTCACAGGTTAAAATAAAACGGCTTTAAGAGAGAAAATATTTTAAAACCAGTCAAAAAAATAAATAAAAATAAAGGGACACTGTCACAAAAGTGAGATTTAAAGATTTTATACAGAAAAAATATAGAAAATCATAACACAAATCAGCACAGCAATACCACAAAATCTACCAAATATAAATCACGAGGGAAAGAAATCAAAACGCCTGGAAGACAATAAAATAAAAAACTGGTAATACACATTTCTCAGATAATGAAGAAACACTGATTCTGCACTATGTCAATTTTAGATTTTATTTTACTGTGAAAATCTCTGGTTTTAAATGTGCAACAGAAGTAAAGAAACTATATAGAAAATGAGCACGAATGCTAAAGTTTTCCTCCAAAAAGCAAAAACAAAGATCAGCGATGTCTTGGTTCTGAATTTAGTGAACTGATTATTATTATGATTATTTAACAGCCGCGTGACCCTTTTAAGATGATCATGAGGAGGCTTTTTAATTTATTCCTAAATAATAATGACATACAGCTGACATTCATTTTAAATTAAAAGATACATTTTCTGACATGTAGTAACATATTTGTAAATGGCAATACGTGACTTCCAGTGTGGAGTATCTGTAGTATTTTCAAACTGATTTTTTGCTCCTTATCAGCTGAAACGCATATCAGTCTATAGACTAGTACTCTCCCCTAAATCCATGCAGATTCAAATGATGATGATAAAAATTTGTGTAGTTAAAATTTTCATTGACACACACACACACACACACACACACACACTCTCTCTCTTTCAAGGGCAACCTAAGAAAGAGAGCAACAGAACTTATCCATCACACAGATACAAGGCAGGATGGCTGCTGTGCATCCAGGTGTTACAGGGTGAGAGTCTGAGTACACCCTGGGCAGGTCGCCAGTATATTGCAGGGCTACACACACTATGCAGTAAAAAATGAAAAATTAATAAAAAATAATTACCCGTGTACACGCCAAGCAGAAAACATTTGATCTCACTCTCTGCATTATTCTATAAGACCTGATAACCATCTCATCTCTGGCAGACTGAGAGCCGGTTCAACTGGGTCCTTGAAGCTGTAGAAGCTTAATGAGTACTGTAATGAATTTTTGAGCCCCTTCCTTCGTTATCAAGACATGATCTCAGAACAATATTAGTTTGCATTTGCATGCTTAAGTGCAACCAAGTTTTGACAGTTGTCAATGCTGAGGCATTGCCATTGTGCCTGGATAGCACTTCAGGTTTAATCTCAAAGGGAGCAGAGAAAGAGGACAGTTCTATTCTCTGCTTTCAGCACACTTTAATTATGCCTTTCAGTGAGAGAGATACATCGTCTCCTCCAGCCCGCCACTGCATCCCATTTATGCATATTAATGAGCATTAATTACACTCTTAATGAAACTATCAAAAACTGCCATGCAATTGATGTGTGGGCCTTCTCTTGAGGAGTAGGGAGGAGGGCTGCTCGGCCTTTGAAGATCAATGTGGGAGAAATCCAATTAGGCCAAAGAAAGGGAAGGGAATTTCAAGCAGTAGTGTTTCATGTCCATCTTTGCTTGCACGCAGATACAAATAAACAGACCAGCATAATAGGTGGATAAACATGTGCATGGGACGCATAATAGATCGAGAACACGCATGCACACCCACGCACGCACACACACGCACACACACGCACACACACACACGCACACACACCGCAACCTTAAAAGTGACCTTACTTGAACCTTTAAATGTGTGCGATTTATATTACGGGCTCTTGCTTTTCGCCTCCATAGGGAAGACACGTCTCCATAATGAGACTGTGTAGACAAACAAATTTAGGCCCCCACAACACGAGTAATACCTACACCACACACACACGCCCCTTCTAAGATGTCATCCAGGCACAATTACGTCTGCTCCTCGCTCAATGAGCTCGTCATTTCAGAACATTGGCGGTAATTGGTGAGGCGGAAGGCCAGGGAACAAAAAGGGATCATCTCTGTGTTTTATCCCCCACATTAAGATTCTGTCTAGACAAAATTAAGAGGAGCAAGCCAGACACTGTAGCTTCTTACTACTCCACTGCTCAACTTATAATTAGCCTGCCACTTTCTCATCAGATAAGGGGTGTTTGCAGAGTCCAAAGCTGGCCTCTGACATGCTGTCAGGGGGACTGTGCTGTATGCCTACAATCCAGTTGACATGGAAACATGTTGACACTGGGTAGTGACATGTGAGGGAAACAATAGGTGCCATCTGCTGGCCTCTTTGTCTTTGGTGTCAGGGCTTTCAGAGACACCTGGGCCAGTGTACACACGGACCTGTCTGAAGACTTTCACACGCAATAATACTGTCTGATAAACCCTGCGGTCTAAAGTTGTGCTTCAAAGGGTTATCAGTATGGTGTTAGAGACTCACACAAAAGCTGAAGATAATAGTCTGTGCGTATGGAACAATGCTTTAAAAAAACCCCAATAACAACACATTTAAAACAGCTTTGTTCCCTGCTTCTAACGCATCAGCCTAAATGCATCTTAAAAAATGCAATCATAACAAGATAATCCGAGTCATTCTCTTCACCTGTCAGTGCCTTTAATGCTAATGTTTTATATAAAGCCAAGTATTCAATTCATTTTACGTCTGCTTTAAATGTATATGGCTCATACGAGCCACAGCTTACTTACCAGAGGCCTTCTGTCGGACATTGTTCCGGGCCTTCTCCACACCCGGTGCTCCTGAAGTAGTGGCTGAGCGAGTCCTCATGGGCTCCTGTACTGGTGGCCCGCCCTGTTCCCCATGATTCCTCCAGCTCAGGGAGAATGAGCGTGCAACTGCTGCTGCCTTCTGAGAGTCCTGGATCACTCCTGACATACGAGGAACAAAACTTAGTGAGTGCTGAAGTGTTCAAGGGCATTTTGTAATGAACAAAACTAAACATTTAGATTCGCCTAGAGCTGAAAAAACAAGAATGAAAATTAAGGGGCCAACCCTTTTTAATTTGACTTTAAACAACACAGAGTAGCTGGCAGAATTATCGTTTTAACCTTACATAGGTCACTTTTAAGCATGGCACCTTTAAAACAGGTCAAACAAGTGTACTGAATCGTACTGGTCAGAGTTAGTCAAGCACACAAAGAAAAACAAAAGACAAAAAATAAACCGTGTCATCCTTCCAATCAAATTAAAGCCACTCTAATCTCCTCATCTTTTCCCATTTTGTCCTCTCACCACGTCCTCTCTGCTTCTTCTCCTTCTGTTCACTGAGTTTGTCCAGAGGCAGGTTGGCCATGTCCAGGCCATAAACGGAGCGTGCCAGCACAGCCGTAAGCGAGTCCATGATGCTGGCCCATTCTGTCACCAGCTCCTCCCAGCAGGTAAGAGAGGACAGCACTGCCAGCAGCTCATCCCAAAGCTCCCGGGAGATAAATACGCACAGGTTGGCTCGTACCCACGCCACAATGATGGTCTGGATGCAGGAGGAGAAAAGACATGATGAATTAGCACCAAGTTACACATACAGTGAGACACAAACACGCTGAATATAGAGCAGGCTTGATAGCACGTGTACAAATAAAGACAAATCGCACTGTATTCAGAGCCAAAGAACAGAGGTGATGACAGATCTATCTCTATGACTGCCTGTTTATCAGAGAGTGTGTAACAAACTAAATGCAACCATACCCTAAAAAGCAAAGATGCTAAACTTTCAGCAAAGCTGTCTTTTCTTTGGTTGTCCTGTGGCCTCTTCATCACAGCCTCTGTGATTCTCAGTAGTACCTGCAACATCTGCTCCCTGCAGAACATGGACAGTAAATAAATTACAATAATGTCAATTGAATTCAATTTAAAAAAAAAAAAAAAAAAGGGGGATAAAAATCACAAAAACTTTTTTTTTTAAAAAATAAATAAATTTGCACATCTAAACATACTACTAACCACGTCTGTGTATTCATGGAGTGCTCCATGATCATATGCCGATAGATGCTAAGAACACCCTTGCACACCTCAACCTGATTTTCCAGGAGTTTTGGTACATCCTGGCATGGCTCCAACAGAAACACGTTGGATGAACTGGTCAGAAACACCTGCACGAACGTAAATGTGTGCAAACATAAAGTAATTAAGACAACAACAATACTGGAAAAACACTGATTCCAACCATCAGAGGTTATGAACACAGATATACCTGTAGTGTTGGCTGGATGCCGGCTTTAATGTTCCTGTTCTCCTCCTCGGTGATGAAGCCCTGATTGATGGCACTGCTGAACGAGTAGGTCCTACCCCAGCTGGACGACCGCTTGTGACTGTGACTCTCCATCATCTGGTAGAAGACAAGGCCGGCCAGTCAAATTCACAGTAGACGTAAACTAATTTATTAAGACCGGTGCTGCAGTCTTTATAGAAAATACCTTTTTTGTTAATAAAATCCACTCTGGTCATAATTATTATTTTTACCTCAGCTGTTGTGTGTTTTGATCTTCTTCAATATCAGAGTAGCTGCTAGAAAGCCTATAGTGCTAAATCACAAATCATTTATTTTTATTTTATTATAAATTCTGATTCATCATCATCCTGTGACAACTGTAGCGTATGTAGCTCTGTGTGTTTCTTCTCCAAACTTCTACACGACTGGTTCAATCTTGATTAAACTTGGTCTATAAACTAAGTAGGGTAACATGATTGGTAACATCTATATGATGATTGATTAAAATATTTAACTCAAATAAGTAAAAGCACTATCCCAAGGGCTGTTTCTTTTTTCTATGTATTTGTATACACAAACTGCATGACTAAGGCCAGTTAATCAACGTAAGCTGGTTTTATGCACATAAATGCATCGTATCATTTGCATGTTACACGTTCGTTTTAATGGTCAAAAGGGTTTTAGTGTTTATTTCTCAGTCTGGTGCACCTTTATCATTCTACACCATTAACTGGGGCTCACAATAGGCTGCAGAGACAGGACACTATTTCTGGACATTTGCATGATCGATACAGGCTGCAGGTAGTTTCTGTGAATAAAAAATAAAGCTGCTAATTGCTTTGAAGTAAAAATATGCACTTTAAATGTTGTGGTAATTAAGTTATTGAGGCATATGATTTATAGGTAGATCAATGTTTACAAATAACAGAAAAGATATGTCTAACAATGAAAGTGAATAACTAATAATATTCTTATTGCATTTCTGATTATTCCAAAATTGTTAGTAATTAAATGTTTTTTTCTGTAAGATTCTCAACTCAAATTGTACCAAGTCTGATACAGGCCTGCAAAAACTACCTGTAAGATGGGTTTTTGAAAGCATGGGGAAAAAAAACAAGGGCATAACTCTTGATTTTTATACAACTTAGTCATTATATATGTGACAGGTTAATGCAAACTTATTCATCTTTCTGTATTACTTACTTGCACGTGCATGTTATTTGTCTCGGTGCTGATAATCTGTTCGGAGCATTCGTCCACTTCATCTTCCCGAGCGGTTCTGTCGGGCTCTGCCATGAAAGATGGTTTCTCCTGCAGGAGCCACTTCCTGTACACTTTGATGACCTTCCTGGTTGCAGAAGCCTCACAGGATGGCAACAAGAAAGCCTTTGCAAAACAAATTAACAAGAAAGAAAGAAAGAAAGAAAGAAAGAAAGAAAGAAAGAAAGAAAGAAAGAAAGAAAGAAAGAAACCATGGCTCATTAGGATTAAAGTTAGTTTTAAATGTGAATCTGTAATTTAATGAAAAGGCCAGCAGAGGGCGACACAGTCCGTGTTACTTGTTAGAGGCATCTTCCAACAGAACAAAATAGAAAATACTGGCAAAGGTTGCAACAGAAGACAGAAATACTCCACCTGGTGGAAGATCTCGTTGACGAAGTTCACATTGTCCCGGGTGGAGAGCAGAATGGACTGCACCATGTCATAAACATGGCGGTGCTCCTCCTCAACGCTACACAAACTGGAATCGCTGGCTCGTCGATCTGACAGGGTGCTACTGTTGGAGTGGCTCTTCTCAGGCTCCCCCGCTGGTCCGTTTGCGTCCCCATCTGATGTCTTATCCTTCTCCTGGCTGCTACTGCCTGCAGTGACAGTCTGGAAAACACAGCCAGGAACGAGAGTCCTTCAGTATGCAGTAGGGGCTACCTCCTCACACGGACCACTACAGTCTCCTTCAGCACAGATTACTTGGCTGTCAGTTGTATTTTATAGCATTTTTAAAGGGAAATGAACCACTGTAGTATGTATGCAGCATTTGTCTGTGGATAAATCACATAAAAATCCATTTATTTTCTCCATGACTGATTTAACTCGAAAGTGACAGAACTGTTGCAGTCTGAAATAAAACCTCCATGACTCCTGATCGCCGTCATCACGATTTTATTTCAGCTATAATCTTAGTTTGAATGCTGTATTACTTGTGAAGCTGTTGATCAACTATGTGCTTTATATAGAGGTAAAATAACATCTAGGAATGAATAAATGCATAAATACTTGTTCAGAAACATAAACCCCAGATGTCTTTATTCTACTGCTAAAGATGGTGTGCTACAAAAACATCTGAAGGATAAAGAAGATCTTGGAATAACAGAATGGAGAAAGAAGAATCCAACACAGGGTACTGTGTGTTCACCTGGATGAGTTTGGGAATGACCTCGGTGCCGTTCTTTGCGCTCTGCGCTGAAGCAGCACTGCTGATGTACTTCTTCTCCAGGAAGAAAGTGACAAGCCAGGTGATGAAGGCCACACGAGGTGCTAGGTACTGATCCCTTGTGCAGAAGGTGCTCTCATTGTTCCGTGTCACTGGCACATACAAGGGTTTTGGTCTGTGGTGGGGGAGGTCTGATGGAGTAACACAGTGGATGAAGAGTTGAGGGCAGAGGGGCGGTTAAAAATGGAAAACAGTGGGAGAAAAAGACAAAGATAATAAAGATTAAATGTGTGGCTGTGGTGAAGTCAGAGTTTTTCCCACGAAATCAAATTGTTCATTTAAATGATGAAACAGGATATGATTTCATCATTTCCTGTATTTCATGCAACTGCTGCTCACGAGTAAAGCCGTCACTGTTTTTATTAAGGAAACTATTTTCTGCACACTTATCTTATTTTCTGTGTTACGGGAAAATAATAAGTAAAGAAAGAGTAGCTGATGTACACTGTGTGTAACTTGAGAGAATACTCCTTTTGTAAATAAACATACTAATAAACATACAAACCGGATTCCAAAAAAGTTGGGACACTAAACAAATTGTGAATAAAAACTGAATGCAATGATGTGGAGATGGCAAATGTCAATATTTTATTCAGAATAGAACATAAATCACGGAACAAAAGTTTAAACTGAGAAAATTTATCATTTTAAGAGAAAAATATGGTGATTCAAAAGGTCATGGTGTCAACAAATCCCAAAAAAGTTGGGACAGGGCCATTTTCACCTCTGTGTGGCATCTCCCCTTCTTCTTACAACACTCAGACGTCTGGGGACCGAGGACACCAGTTTCTCAAGTTTAGAAATAGGAATGCTCTCCCATTCTTGTCTAATACAGGCCTCTAACTGTATTATCGTCTTGGGCCTTCTTTGTCGCACCTTCCTCTTTATGATGAGGAATGAGAATGTGGTCTGGCATTATCTTGTTGAAAAATCAAGGGTCTTCCCTGGAAGAGATGACGTCTGGATGGGAGCATATGTTGTTCTAGAACCTGAATGTATTTTTCTGCATTGATGGTGCCTTTCCAGACATGCAAGCTGCCCATGCAACCCCATACCATCAGAGATGGAGGCTTCTGAACTGAGCATTGATAACAACTTGGGTTGTCCTTGTCCTCTTTGGTCCTGATGACATGGCGTCCGACATTTCCAAAAAGAACTTCCAATCGTGACTCGTCTGACCACAGAACAGTCTTCCATTTTGCCACACTCCATTTTAAATGATCCCTGGCCCAGTGAAAACGCCTGAGCTTGTGGATCTTGCTTAGAAATGGCTTCTTCTTTGCACTGTAGAGTTTCAGCTGGCAACGGCGGATGGCACGGTGGATTGTGTTCACTGACAATGGTTTCTGGAAGTATTCCTGAGCCCATTCTGTGATTTCCTTTACAGTAACATTCACGGTTACGGGGCACTGTAACGCAAGGCCCCAGAAATCACGGGCATCCAGTAAGGGTTTACGCCCTTGACCCTTACGCACAGAGATTGTCCCAGATTCTCTGAATCTTCGGATGATGTTATGCACAGTTGATGATGATAACTGCAAAGTCTTTGCGCAACATTGTGGGAATTGGTGATCCTCTACCCATCTTGGCTTCTGAGAGACACTGCCACTCTGAGAAGCTCTTTTTATACCCAATAGTGTTGCCAATTAACCTAATTAGTGTTAATTGGTCTTCCAGCTCTTCGTTATGCTCAAATTTACTTTTTCCAGCCTCTTATTGCTACTTGTCCCAACTTTTTTGGGATTTGTTGACACAGTGAAATTTTGAATCAATATCTTTTTCCTTTCAAATGATACATTTTCTCGGATTGAACTTTTGATCTGTCATCTACGTTCTATTCTGAATAAAATATTGACATTTGCCATCTCCACATCATTGCATTCAGTTTTTATTCACAATTTGTTTGATGTCCCAACTTTTTTGGAATCCGGTTTGTAATATATACATAGTTTGGGTTTGTGGGCTTACCTAATAAAGGCTTGTAGAGGTTTGTGAGCTTGGTGAAGGAGGGAAATAAGTGTGGAAGGTAGTACTTCTTGAACAGGGTGAAGAGAAACCTGAAGCCTGTGTCCTGGTTCTCTTTGTTCTTCCATTCTAAACTGGATGCCTGGCAGACAGACAGCACAATAAGGCAGACAAGGTCAGGCTACAGAGAGAAGAGATGCTTCCAACATCACAGCGACAGTATATTGTTTGCAACACAATAGCATGAAGGTTCCTCTAAAATTAAATTTAAAAAAAAGAATAAAAAAAAGTACATAGACATAAACTGTTAGATCTGAGGCCAAATATGATGAAAAACTTTAGACTTAACAACTGAATTTACTTTTTATCTTACAGTGGCACAATACATGGAGGAGACCCAATCATGAAAGCAAATGAAAGATGAAGCCAGAACAGAGTATGTTCACATTTGTTGAGCACTTCCATCACACGGCTGTCTATTAAAGACAGAAAAAGCATTTGCATATAAAAGGCATTTAATTTAAGTATGCAAGTGCATTTGCGCAAATTTTATAACACAACTTAATCTAGTCACTGAAAATGTTTGTGTCTGAGGAACTAACTGTACAGAACATGAGGCATTAATAGTTTAGCTGCTGACTTCATAAAATGTGCTGGGTTAAAGCTGATATTTTCATGATGAAAGAAATACTCAACTAAAATACTTTATCTAACAGTATTAGAAGGAACCCCAACAACAAGTGGGGTAAAGCAGCCATCAAGCACATCCAAGAATATCCTGCAGGCAGGGTTAGTTATGATAACATTACTATTCTTGCTGCTGTCAGACAAAGTGAGTTATTACCTGGATGACCATGTACTTAAGCAGTATTTCTAGGATAAAACAGGTCAGGTCATCTGCAGCTTTTTCACCTGCCACAGCTGGAACCAGTGGGGTGATCTCCTCAGGCACCACCTTGGCTGCTCAAATCAACAGAAAGAAAAGACGGAAGTTAATGACAGAAAATAAACCTACCCAGTATTATAACTGGGTACGTTACATAATTTCAGTGGCAATCCTCAGCATGTACAAATGTAATAAAATCTATGGTCATTTAAATGTGAATACATAATGTGTAATGTGCTCCTCTTTTCTCACCATCTGGGGGGTTGGAGAAAGGGTTGTAAATGATGGTGTCGAGGGTGCACGGCCCTCTGGAGGAGGGCACAGCGGGGAATCCTGGCACCAGACAGGCAAAGATGAGGAACTGCTCCTCTGCACAGTGGTCCCTTAGGGCCTGCAGCCACAGCAGGAAGAGACGGATCCCCTCACAGCGAATCTAGACAGCGGGAGAAAAGGTCATTTTTATGCATATTCAAAAGGAGGCTAATTTTAACAATCCATTCAACTAAAAAAATATGTTCAGTCCATCTTTGTGTGCCAAGATTTTAAAAGCTCAAATTGGGCACTTACTTTGAATGAATTTCCAGTGTGCAGAAGCTTTTTGAGAATAGAACCTGGAGGATAGAAAACGTGACAACGGTCAAAAACCGCTATTCAAATTTTCTTCTGCACAACAAGGAAAGAGACAAACCGCACAAAGCTGTCATCTCGACTCAGAAGAATTGACCTTGATGGGTGGTCTTGACAAACTAGTGGGTAGAGTGGCAAGGCTTCATATTTTCCTGATGAAAATTAACACGAGTTGGCAGCGACACACATTTATGAAGCCAATCTGGTTCCACTGTAATCAAATGAGAAATCGGTCTGATTGCTAAATATCTCGGGAGGAAGAGCTCTGCATGTCTGTGCGTGCGTGATTTAGGACATGCTCTTGACAGGCAGCAGTCTCTTTTGAGGACGTTGTGGGCTGGAAAACACTTTGACTGGTCCTAATATTGATTTTAAGGTGATGATTAAGAATCGGGTTTTGTTAGTGTAAAAGCCAAACCGCTGAACAGGTGTCTTAAAGTCCTGATCAACAGGCCCTTACTGAGGGAGCTTTTGTCTGGTCCTCTCATCAGAATACTGAACACGAAAGCACAGAGCAATCCTTTCATGGGTTGTGGCCTGGGGACAGAAGGATAACAAGAAGCTGTGCACATTTCCTTCAGCATCTTAAAGGTACGAGTGAAGTACCTGTGACCCTGCATCTCCAAACTAAAAGGCCATTACTAAATGTAATTCTTGAGCTACTCTACCCACCACAAAGAATATGTCGCAAGGTGCTGTATTTCCATTAGTAACGGTTCTGGATACAGCACACTAAAAATTATGTGAAAGAAAAAGTTAACCAGGCTGAAGTACACATATAACAGCACTGGATCTTGACCAGTGACACCTGAACTGATGTGTGGAAAAAAAAATTCTATGCGAGTGCAAGAAAGGCTAAGAGGAAGCTTTAAACCTGCGCGGATTTGTGATCCAGATGGACAAAAATGGTAAATATGTCTGGGACATCCACCCAAAGATAAGTGTTGATATTTAAAATTACAAGCCTGGGGAGGGGGAAGGCAAATCTGCAACAGTGATCTCAACCTGGACTGTTTAGCTGCCAACGGCTGACGAAAAACAGTTATAATTGGGGTTATCGCTTCTTGCAAGGGTTTTCCTTTTTTGTGCAGGACTGAAATCATGCATAATTCAATTACTTATTTGCATTTCAAATGAAGTGTTAATTTGCATTTCCCATTTACATCCCCTTCTCAGACTAATTATTTCCTCCTCATTATTAAAGGTTAAGGCTTGGTCCTGGTGACATTTTTTTTGTCCTTAAGTGTAAAGAAATACAAAGCGTACACCTAGCTGTCAGTTGTTACAAAGAAAACGGTTACAATTCAAGCAAGTGCAAAATGTTTGATAAAGTGGAAAAACGTTATGTGCATACCTATACTGTGAAACTGCCATCTGTTGTAGATCTTCTCAGGCAGATTCTGCAGGATTTTCTGATGAAAAACAGGACGTGTCATGATTAGCTTTAGAGGAGTGATTAGAGTGGTAGAGAACAGTACCTGCGTCAGCTGTGACAAACAATTCTGGTAGCTAGCTGATGAATGACAAATTGGGGAAAACACCCATTATTCCAGTTATGTTTTCTGGATTTCTAAAACAAATAATTCTTTGCTGAATTTCCAAGTCAAACCATTTTTGACCAAAACACACATATACATACATTTATACACAACAATGCAACAATACTCGTATCGATATTGAACCGCTCGATACAGTGCTTTCAGTTCGGTATGCATATGTATCGAACAATACAAAATGTTTTAGTTATTTTATCAACTTTTCTTCTGACGATGCTGTCTGTGTTGAGCGCTCAGTGGATCTGCGTTCGACTACTCCGCCTAGGCTGCACTGTCGAGTGCAGATCCACTGAGCGCAGCGCAAGCTAGCAAGACAGAAGCTAAGATCATTGCAACATGGCAACTGCCTCAACGCTACCTGAAATTGAACCTCCCCCACCCTCATTCAGATCTGGCCTTTGGACCTATCTTGGTTTTCATGTGAAGCATGACCCTGATGTAAGCGCGTCATGGACAAAAGTAAAATAGTATGTCGGATGTTCCACGCACTGCTCAATCGGTGGGAACTAGTGCGTTAGCGCATTTAGCTTGTTAACGTGTTGACGCCATCCAGCCCCACGCACGGGGCGATCCGCGGTTACTCGTTAACAGAGGTTTGCCGTGTTGTGGCGTTAACGTCATTTTAACGAGATTAACGTTGACAGCACTAGTGGGAACACAACGAATATGACTGCACATATACGCCGACAGCATCCTAGTGCAAAGACAAGAACAACAAGCACGCATGCTACAAGCTTTACCCGAGTCATTTAGACAGCCGTTAGCACATGATTCTCCTTATGGAGACCTGATATGTTTAATATGCTGCTGAGAATATAGCCCAGAAGAAGCGTATAGTATTTGTTTTGGAAAGAGCCATTTCTCTGTAACAAACTCTTTTCCAAAGATGAGTGATTCCTCGATCAGAGATTTATTATTTTATCCCTTTGTTGTTTCAGCAACATTAAATTTAAAAACTGTACGTTTGTGCTAAAATATATATTTATAATTTTAATAAATGACAAATTAAAAAGGCATGAACATTTTTTATCAAAAAAAAAAAAATCGAACTGTGACACCAAAGTATCGAACCGAACCGTGAATTTTGTGTATTGTTGCACCCCTAATATATATACACGCATACATATACACACATATATATTTATTTAAGCAATGCCCTCTCTCTCCACTTTGCCTAGCCTGTCAGTGAAACCCTGTGACCCGACACAGCACTCATCACCTCACCAACAACAGTTTTACAACTCAATTAGCGAGCTCTAACCTTTGAGCAGGCTATCATTATTCCTCAATGCAGCGACCCGTTAACTGGGTCCCTCTGGAAAGATGAAAAAAAATGCCCCGAGTCTGCAGATGTGTGCGGCTGTGCACATGCGGCTAGTTAACAGTCAGTTCATTGCGAGCAACTAATGCTCCAATGACTCACTTCTCATCAAATCCTAATGACTGACCCAGAAAGACTTCATGATTGCAATGCAGAGGTCAAGCCTGTCCTTTACTGCTTTACGTATGCAGCTCTGACCCACTCAACCAGACAACCGATGGTGGTCAGCATGATAAAAAGCTCATCTGGTCTTGAGTGCACGAAACAGAGGCGAGAGAAGGAAAGTGAGCATGCCAGGAAAGAAATGGCAAATATTAGTCTCCTATAGTAACAGATATGAACAGTGGAAAAGAAACTTAGCACTGAAACAGAAACTGGCAGGATAGAAAAAACTCACTGAAGTGATATACTAACAGAACTCTGTGCTTTATTAGCCATGGACATAACACTGGTCTGACAAATGGTATGAGCTTTATCTTTACCCTGTGCTTTGCCGCATTATGCTGAGAGCTGTGGTGGCCCACAAGTCATCTCAGGCTTTGAGTGTCTCCATTTGTCAACAACTTCCTTTTTCCCTTATCATCTTTAACTTTCCCTTCTTGTCCTCTGAGACTAAATCCCCGTCATTATCAGTGACAGCAGAGAAACTGAAAGGCATACATCACTTTAAGGGGGCGCTGGATGACTATCTGTGCCATTCAACTTCTTTCTGATCCCCAGACTCGATAATATGCGTGTACAGGCGTGTGGCTGCACCTTGGTATTGATCCCAAGTGGGATTATTACATCTCAGCAAAGGCTGTGCTGGCCACCTTCATTTTGTCTCCTTATGCCAGTAGAGACATTATGCTAGTCGGTAGCACAGCAGGGTAGCCAGCTTAAGCCTTGTGTGTGTGCGTGCACACAGTAACACTGTCTCTTCACAGAGCATTAGGAAGGGAGAGTGGGAATGAGGTGGAGAAGCTAGCTCAGAAAAACTCCCTGTGGAGCTGGAATGGCGGCCGCAACAATGAAGAATTTACCGGCTGATACAAGGCGAATACAAAATCTGCAGGACTGGATGTTGTTGGAGTTACACTAATCTGCAGCCATACTCCAGCATAAATATAAGGGCATTATTGTGGTCCAACAGCAGCCTTAACACATTTACATGATCCGCACTTAGATTTCCAGCAGTAGAGCCTGAACATGACACAGAATATGCTGCTTACAGATGTGGTCTACAAGGGCTTCTAGCACCAATCACAATGCAATGCTTTTAGATGAAATGTTGTACTTTGCATATTGTTTGGGATTTCTGGCAATCATAGAGATGAATATAGCATATATGGAGGAAGGACCAAACACAATAGAGACATAACGAACTAATCTACCTTAAACTGCAGTCAAGGACGTGCAATAATGAGAAAACCAGACAAAACAGGCAAAACTCAAATTATAACACATAGTAAGCAGTGTAGGAAATAAAGTGCAATGTATAGTGCTTGCATTCAATCAACCAAAAGTGGGCCCTGGGATTACAAACACTTATAGATGAAAAGCACAGAGAGAAGACGTCAGTTACACACACCTGCTTTGCTTATGCCACAACAGTGTGAGCCACGTAAGACTGAACAGAAATTTGACTAACATGCAAATTAAACCAAGTAAAATATACAAAACTCCAATTAAATGGTGCTTTAAGCCCAAAACACTTGTTTTTATTCTTTGTTTTTAAGAAGAACACCAAAAATATGGGAACAGTGTTACAAAACTGTTTTAATTCCCCTCTGTGGCCAGTAGATGGCAGCAACAGCACATGAGACTCCTTCAGCGCCTTAACACCAGCTTCTCATCCATCTGCTACACCTTCCTCTTTGGTTGGCAAAGCCAAGCTACAGCATTCTAGGGTCCGTTTTAAAAACTCTTCTTAATCAGGTTATGTACTAGTGACAAAAATGTTCCTATCTGGAATATTCTGGACCAACGCACAGATCATCAAGATTCATCTGCTGCTCCCCTGTGCAACCCCAAGCTACACTTTGTACATTTGCATTATGCATAACCAGTGGGGGTCCAATGGGTAAACTGCCAGTCAAGAAGAATTAGACTGTAAAACAAATCATGTAACTAAATGGCCCTGAGCCTTTTTTTTTTTTATTAGAAGCGTTAGCCGAGGTTTAGAGGAACAAAGAATATGAAGCAATTACACGAGGCCGAACAGAACTATAGATGGCTGCTCATGATACAGACTTAAACTATGTAATTAATTACTAATTACAGACCTGGGCATTTAAAAACATGCAGGTCAAAATAAATCATATGCTACGGCTGACATGAATAAATCTCAGTTTAACCTCAGAGATCTCTCTTCTCTCAGAGTCTTTTTTTCTGCTTGATACTTGTTTTAGTGTGTTGCCATTTTGGCTGATACTATTCCTATAAAAAAAAAGATTTCTCTCAGTCTGTGATCTCCAAAAACAAAAAACTATACAAAAATAGATTTATTTTGTTTATTAAAAAGTCAGTAAGTTAAGTCTCAGATCTAGATGGGGCAGCTTGACAGAGAGGATAACAAGGGGAATTCAGCCTGCTGACTCAGGTCCAGATGGCACTTGACATGTCAGGGTGAGGTCACGGAGTTTCAGGGGTCCCAAAGCTGTCCCTTAACCTGTTCCATAACCACAGCGGCACCAGTGTTCAATGCCACTGTTGTCAGTGAGAAGTCATCTCCAGTAATACAGGCGCATAAACAAACTCTTCCCCTGAGGCCTGAGAAGCTGGTTCTGGTCTTGTGACAGCAGAAAACAGAAAGAGGTCTCACGCTGGCTGTAAAACTCATTCTTTATAGTATCCTTCTGCTGTGCAGCAGCAAGAAAGAGAAATTAATTACATGTAGACAAATATTTTCTCAAACACCAACTCTTGACTCTAATTAGCTGATATCTGATTAGCAAATAAACAATTTACGACTGCAGCTTGCAAACCAAGAATGAAAACTAAAGACATGAACACATGTCATTACAAACCAAAAAACAAAAATCACAAAAACACGAATAAAACAACTACATGACAATAAAAAAAGAAGCCTTCCTTCCTTAACTTTCTGCACTCAAATCAGAAAGTAATGAACTAAACAAGCACACTTAACTTCACTGATCAACCTCACAACCTCTGTCACATGTGTCAAATTTGGCTCTTTGTTTATCACTAAAGGTTCTTAATAACTCTTGGCCAATCAGCAACAATGTGTGTCTCACGCACAGGTCACCTGACAAGACAGGTGGTTCTCCACAGCAGCTGGGTGCCAACAGGTTAAGAAAGAGATTGGAAACCATAAATCTTTACCGAATGTAAAGAGAAGCCTGTTTATCCTTTTGGCACAAGTTTTTATTTTATAAAAAAAAAAAAGAGGAAAAAAATTTTGTCCTTCATGTCTGAATCTATGTACAACACAGATATGGAGACACATCCATGCATCTACAGCAGATTGTGTGTCTTTGAAAGGCACATTGTGCTCACAGGGATGGAGCTATAAGGGAGTTTTATATTAAATTTTACATCTGTGTGCAGCCACTAGCCTACCAGCAGAACTATAATTAGAATGTATTGTTTTGCTTGACCTTATTTTATAAAGGCTAATAAGATTTTTTGTGGACATGTTCGCATGCAAAAGGCCACTCCAAACAAATTAATTTATTTGATTTAATTAATTGAAGTACAACAATAAACTCTATACGCCTGGCCCTGACGCAACACTCATTTTCCCCAGTGAATTTTTGGGAAACGCCTCCTCAATTCAGATTTCCCGACTCGGAGCAGACAAACCCCGAGTTAGCAATCCAAGATGGCGGCAGTGAATGTAAACAGTTGTGAAACTGTAAACCTTTGAATCTGTACTGCCACTGTTGTGTATTTGTGACTTAGTAAAGAAGCCATGCACAGAGCACTGACCAGGCTCTATCCACGAATGTCTTTTTTAAACACAAAAGTAGTATTACTGCTGCACTGCGTGTGATGCGTGAATGACTCCAGCATGCCAAGAACAGAAACAAATCCTGTTTTTCCTCGCTTTTTCTGGAACGTGCCAACTCATGTGTGATGTCATGAATTCTGATATCAAAGTTCCAACATACCTGGAACGTGGCCTCTTTGTTGGTCAGTCTGTAGGAAGAACCAGTACCAACCCCTGCTGGCCTCAGGGATTGGTACTGGTTGGTGTGCATGCTGCCGGCTGTAACCCATAATTTCCTTAAGGATTAATAAAGTATTTCTGATTCTGATTAAACTACCCAAATGAACTGTAATTTAAAAAGAAAAAAAAAAAAAAAGCATGATTACTAAATCTATAGTAGTTTACCCTCTTTAATTGATTGTGATACTGGTGAGGTTTTAGGTTTAGGTTGTGCACAAACTGCCTCAGATTTCTGCAGCTGAACAGCCCATAGGTTTCATGATTCCCACCTGCCCATTTCCAATTTCACTCTCACACAGAGGATAGTTTCTTCTGTGTGAATTTACGAATCAACGTTCTGTCCATGTTCTATGACAACCATCACGTTGACTTTATCACATTTGTTTCTGTGTATTTGTTGCTAATGTGCCTGATTTGTATGGGAGTTACTGCCTGGGAATCAACTAACCATCAATCACCTTGGAAGTCTCCACTGAATTTGTCATTTGCAGGAACAGATAATGATTAAAGTGCAGCAGATGTTAATGGCTAGGCAGTGGAGTATTTTCACATTTCGATCAATAAATTCAGAACTTCTAATCAAACTAAGTGTTCGCTCTCTCAAGCTGTGAATGACTAGAAAAACTGCTAACGTTACTTCAAGCCTCGGCCTACACGGTCAAAGGAGCCAAACACAGTTTTTTCTGCGGATGTTATACACTGAAAACTTTTCGTTTGAATTATTTTTAACAGCATGTATCATAGCAACACGTATTCAAAAACATAAAACATGTTTTAACATAAAACACAAACAGTTGCCAAGAGAGTTCAAAGCCTTGTGGTCATACTAGGGCAATCCTTTGATTCAACATTGACTAACTATTAAAGTTAAACAAAATAAATAAATGTTATGTCGCTTTTTATGGGGTAAAATCTTTAATCAATATCAAAATAAAAGATGCTGAGAACACGACTGCATCCTCAGAAATGTGGTTGCATTCCCATAAAGACTGCCATGGTATGATGCCTCTGTGGAAGCAGACAAAGAAATCCTGGAAGGGAGTGATGGCTGCTGGTGGGATGGGGGGGTGGAGTGGACCAGCACAGTTTAGGCAGAGGAACAAAAGATTACCCCCTCTAGACAGCCATTACTCAAACGGGCCCAGCATGGGAGATCATGCTCCCCCACAGCAACTCATGAAAAAGGGGTTGCATACCTCATCATGACAGCAAAGTAATCCCCACATAGCCAGCTCGAAGGAAACAAACTGGGGACGTGGACTGCATATATCAGGCAGATGTGAGGGACAGGTGAGAGCGTGAGACTACGTTTCACATTCCTGAAGAGAGGAGTGTAAACGGGGTTCTCCAGGGAAACTCATACAAAGAACATGAGAAGTGATGTTGAGATGTCCTGTTCTTCTTACCCTGTCATACAGCATTAAAGTGTGACTCTAAGCACTGTGCTGCAAACTTGCTTTTGTCCCAGCCATTATCCACTCGGAGGCCACGCTACAAAATCCTCTGACACTTGCTGGACAAAAGCTGCCATGTTTTGGCCGGGCGATTCCCATCACTTATGTTAACAATGGCCGTTTACACAAAGTATTATCCTGCACTGAGAGAAGGTGTATGACACACGTGGCATAAATGTAAAATTCCCATAAGAAATACATTACATTACTGTGCTTGTTGTAGAAATAATTTATGAGGGAGCAAAATGCCATTGCCTCGAAACACTGTTTTAATTAATTTTCTGCTGCACTGCCACATCTTTCGCTGCATAATATTACACATTTTCTTCAAGTATGCATGTTCGAAGTACATGCACTGATATCACATTGACGAAAAAATTCTTAATGTAATGTGGTGTAACGGGAATGTCCACACATTGCAGCACAGCTCAGGATCAAGGCAACCCTGTATCTGTCCTGCCCACATTAGTCAAAGCAAGCTTATCTTCTCAGTGCATGGGTAAAAGCACACAGCGTCACAGGCAGGGGCTAAAAGGGGAAAAATGAGGGTTAAGCTGCTTTCAATATTAGTTCTCTCTGAAAAGATGACTCCATAAATATGTAGAAGCCATGAATCCAGGCTTTATTTACAGGTCAAATGACTGGATGTGTGCATACAGACACTGTGGGTTTCTAGGTAAAGAATAGAGAGAACTGAATGGAAATGTTGAACTGAATGATAACATTTTTCTGCTTTGATCAGAAAATAATTTCTGGTATGATCTGCAGGAGAGGGGCATCGGCACAAGTGTTAATTCTAAAGAAGATTGACAGACTGAAAGAACAC